AAACGAGAGAGCCGCGCGGATTCCGTCACGCGGCCACCGCAGACCCGAGATATGTCCGAGGTGCGACGGTGTAAATCTTATTCGTTCGCCACTATGCGAGGCCAGCTCGAGGATCGGGATGCGCTGATATGATACGCGCGCTGCCACGCCACGGGGCGAACCGTTCAGAGTAATTCGATTTAGTCGTTTGTTTATAGTCTTTCGTTATTATGTTACTTTTTAACTTTTTTCTTTTTTTTTTTTTTTTTTCTTTTAGATGAATTCTGTGAGATAGTCGGAAGTGAATATATATATGTTTGAGAGCAAATTTATTTTATGTTGATTTTATAAATGATTGGGATAATAATTTTTTTTAATGAATTTGCATTTCAATAGATAATTTCTAGGTGTTTTTCTTTCTTATGTACGTAAATGATATATTATGAACAGTGATCGCTATAGGAATACAACACATTTGAGGATAGTATGGTATATGATTGTTGAGGATATTAAAAGTTCATTTAATTTGGATATATACACGGGGCATTCCAATTCAAAAGATATTGTTATCTATTAAATATAATACTTTAAATATTAATGTTTCTAATACATTACATTTGGAAATTATACATCTATTAAATAAATTTTCGATATCACCAAAGATATTTTGCAAAATATATACTCACTTTTAATCTTCTTTCTTTTTTACATCTAATTTTTTTTCTTCGTTTCTTTTCTCTTTATCTTTAGACATGTGAAAGGAACAGATTTTGTTTTTGTTTCTTATTTTAGCGGGTCAAAAGAGGAAAATTTAAAAAGATTGTACACGTGGATGAGATATACGGGAGCAGAGAAGTAACGAATGTGGTTAATTGTTACAGGCAGTGCGGTGGCTGCAGCCGACACCATTTCCGCGCCGTGGACTCCCACGAGTTCCGGGCCGCCGCCCGACGCGAACGGCTCCGGCTCGGATACCAAGAACCTCGACGTTGGCGAAATTAGCGATGTAAGTTCAATATTTTTTTCCATTATCTTCGAGTCATACAACTTATTCTTTTATCTTGAATATTTTTTTTTAAGTAGCTTTGCTGCGAAGGATGCCATCTTGAGATTTTGTTGATATAACCTCAAAATTGCGTTTTTATTAAAGTTATTATTAAAGTTAAAAAACTTAATATGGCACTTCGATATTACGATATTCTTAATTGTTTATATATTTATTAATGTAATTGTTAATTATATTATGATTTATAACAATGTTAAATTAAACATTTCACGATAGTTATTTTCTAATAATACTTTCATTTATTCGTCGTATAATATAATTGTTTATGCATTTATATTATTGATTATCGTACAATTTATATTAACCGAAAATTAGAATTAAAAAAAAATGATCAATAATTTTTCTAACAATATTTTCTTCGCAAAAATTTTTCTTATTGGCTTGGTTGGTATTTTTCAGGACGAGAAGGACCTATCGGCAGCGGACGCGGAAGGTGTATGGTCGCCGGATATCGAGCAGAGCTTCCAAGAAGCTCTCACTATATATCCGCCATGCGGCCGACGCAAAATCATCCTGTCCGACGAAGGGAAGATGTACGGTGAGTCGAGCAATTTCCTGACAAATCTCTCTTCCACATTTTCGCTAGGGTGATCGAAATAAAAAAAAAGAGGGTCGTGGAAGACGATGAAAAGAGTATTTTACGTGTGTGTATATTTATATATATATATATATAGATCGTTCTGTTTCATATCTATGAAATATACAGGGTATTAATATATTCTCGTGACAGTTTTTTTAGAGAATTGATTTTAATCTGATCAAAAAAACAAATACAAAAATAAAAAAAAATTGCTTGAAGCTTATTTGTTAAGCTTATTCACAATGAATCTAGATAGAGTATTTTAAAGATTTTCCAAAATTATTCCAAAAATATTTTATTGCACACGAAAAAATTGATTCAAAAAAATTTTATTACTTTGAGGCAAAAGTAGAAAATGAAATACCCACGTACCCCATAAGTCGATCGAAAATCCATCAACCCCAATTCTTATAAAAAAAAAAAAAAAAAAAAAGGAAACGAAAAATCGTTCAAGAAAAGATGGGGAAAAAAATAAAAAGGGAAAGAAATCGAAAATATCACGTGTCTCCCATATAAGGTGACCAAAAGATTCGTTAAGGGGTAGCGGAAAGAGATGATGGAAAGTGGTAGGAGGGTGGGTGAAACTATATTGGGACAAAGATGCTGGTCAAGGGGGCTATCTTTCGAGGCGTGGCATTATTGCCTCGGTGGTGAGCTCATGGCGGTTAATGTTGGTGACTACGGTGGTACCCGTGGTCGTAGGAGGCAATATCTGCTCGGTCACGTAGACTGACCTCAGCATCGAGCAATAACGACGCCCGCCTCGACGTTTCTACCATCGCGCTTAGTACGTGAAGCATAAGGATCCTTCGTCTAAGGATATTTTTTTTTTCCTCCATGCGATATTATTTGCGAACGAATCTGTCACTTTTGCTG